CCCCAAAACCCCAAAACCCCAAGATGAGGGATATTGATTAGAATCCACTATAATATTAAAAATATAATAAATAATAATAACATCAGAGAGTAACTCTCATTTCCCAGGGATCTCTAGTTCTTTTCTGAACATGATCTAAGAAATAGTATAAAAGATCATTATTACAAAACCTGATCTGAAATGAATTTCTCGTTTATTTTTCTCATGTTTCCTAGTCTTTCAATATATTCATCTTCAAATTTTTTATTAAGTTAACTTACGCTTTCTAGCCTCTCAACTGACTTTTTATGCATTGAATTATTATAGGGAGAATTATCATTCTATGATCGGCTTAAACTACCACTATTGTTGTTCTAATCTCTATTAGCTCTGGCTTCTTTACTGGTTGAGTGATTATTATTGATTGTTTAACTTAGACTAATGAATGAGAAATCTAGGGATCTATTCATTATTTACTTTTACTTACTCTTTGATAGATATTTGTGTTAAATGCTCTTCAAATAGTTATTCTTACGACTTGAATCCACACCTGAAGGATTTTGATCTTGGAGGACGGACTCATTTTATTTTTGAATGAATGACGATTGATTTAGGATAAAACTGCTACTGAGAGATGATTTTCTCTCTGCTTGCTTGTTTCTAGGATTTATCGTTTAGGAGAACCCATCTAAAGAATTTATACTAGCTCTCAAGTTTGAAGTAGCTTACCTGTTCTAGAAGTTATGTTTTTATGGCAAGTTAATTTTAAGAATTTTGAATTAAGGAGGGTTTTTCAAGGTTTCATTTATGGTTGTCTTTCTTTTAAGGAGATCTCTGGGATTAGATACTGATCTATGCATAGAGCTGTCATTTCCTCTTTGCTTTTGTAATTATTTTGATAAATTAGCATGAGACTTTATTATGTCATTTGACCTTATGATAATCTTAGAATCTGGGGAGAACATTTCCGTTGATTCACTTAATCGAGGTAGTGCTTCTGGTACTTATGTTTTGACTTCTTAATTCTACTTTTCATCCTCTGAATTGAAATTAGAGTCCTTGATATTCACAAGACTATCGTTTAATGAAGTTTCATCGACACAATTCTACAGCTTAATCAAAGGAGACACCTTATCGAAATGCTAATACTCTACTTTTATAGGGGAGGGACTTGATAAATCCAAATATTCTATCAAATTTCTTTCACTATCTTTCTAAACCATTTGTAAACTAGGTTATTTAGTCATAAAGACCTTATTCTATGAGATTTGAGAAATAGTATCATCATTTTGCTGAGGATTTAAATCTATCTGGACTATTTGGTTTTGCTTTGCTTTCTTTTTATTAATTCCTTAATTTTTTGAATATCTATCAAAAGATCTTTCAAGAGTTGAATTTTCATTATTATCTCTGGGTGAGCCTTTTCTTTCGTAAAGCTTCTCTATAGACTTTTGTAGAACATTAGTACTCTTTCTTACACTCTTTAGTATTTCATTACTGTATAAGGTCCTTGAGGGCTGAGAGTTAAGACAAAGAAACAAGGGCTGCTCCTTAGAGCCATTTAACTATTGAGGTCTTGGTTTTAAGGGTGTCTTATTTGTCGGCTTTTAATTTGCTTAAGGAAGTATCATTTAATATAAATTACTCTTATTCACTTTAGTTTTTTCAGTGCTTTTATTAGTAACTTTTGTTTTATTAGCCTGACTTTACGGCTTTACTTTAGAATTAATGACTTTTGAATCAATGCTTCTTACTGAAGTCTTTAGCCTTGGCTTCCTTGGCTCTGAGTTTTGACTTGTCTAAGAATTTATCTAAATAGACTGAATATTGATTAGATCATTTACAATCTACTCTGCTTTAAGGAAGCTTTACCTTTCATTTTCAAGCTATTCTTGTTATTGCTTGATAAGTAGCTATTTTTAATCAAGGTTATATTTTATTTTGAAGAACCAGTGCTGAATCTTAAGAGCGGATCTTTAAAGGATAAATATGTTGAACTTAAACTTCCTGAACTGCATATATTTCCTAGAGAGGTAGGTCTCAATGTCCTCTGACTAAGACGATTGTTTGTGCCATCTAAGAAACGATTAAGATTTCAAGTAGTCTTAACTTGGCTATTTTGGTTTATTTTAGTTTTGCAAGCTATTCTGTTGTGATGTTGATTCAATATCATTAATAACTTTGATGGAATTGCAAAATGAATATGGCGCCTCCATTTGATCTAAGATATTTTCAGAAGCTTAAGTATCATCATTATAATCAAGTTATGACTGATTAAATACCTTTCTAGACTGCACAGTCAAAATTTGCCTTTCAGAATTTATTATGTCTTTTATTCCCCTTTACTTTAAAGTTGATTTCATAACGATTAATTATAAATTTTAAGTTTATTAATTATTATTGCACATAATAAATTATAGAATGGATCAGTAAATAGAACAGGCAAGTATTAAATAATCCAAAATGAAAGCAATCAACTTATCTGAAGAACAGAAATTTAAATTAAACCGAATGATAACAAAGAATAACCTATAGGAACAGAGTAGAATGAGAGATATAAATTTTGATGAGTTTCTCAACCAGGAGTTTCAGTTGCAGGAACAAGATGTCAATCAAATAAAGTCATAAATAAGTACTTCAATCAGAAACATAATAAATAATCATCAAAATAACCGTTCCTAATCCCCATTGAGAAATGTCGAGTAGTCTAATACCAAAAAGTCTCTTCAACCAAAATTATCAGAGCAGTAACTAAAGGAGATTGAAAACTATTAGGCTCTATCATATTAGCAATATCCAGTTTAACCTTGCGTCAAGTCCTTATATTATATATCTAAGATTGCCCAGTTATAATAAGTTAACGTCTTGGTACCGCCTACAGTTTTAGTGTAAATGAATGGAGATAATAGATTTATTTACAACTGCCCTTTAGACGGTCATTTGATAGTTGACAATAGTAAAGTGACAGAAAGTTCTTTAAAAAAATTCATGAAAAAGCATATAAATACTATTCTAGACTTATATCCTATTGAAAGTAAAATGCTACTTCCCAGATATGTCATCAGAATAAGCTAAAATGAATCTAGGAAGAATGAAACTAAAGTCTATTACAGTGAAGATGCTTTGATAGCTGATGCTTTGGTCTTGTGGGAAAACTGTGACATGGCCATTTAACTTTTCATCAAATAGAAAGGTATTAGGCCTAAAATTTTTAGGTACATAATGAAGAACGGAAACACAATAAAGTCGTTTTCAATATGCAACCAGAAAAATTTGTTGAATGATTCAATCATCGTAAAAACAATTGATTAATTAGTTAAATCATAGTAATAACCTGCAATAAATAATAAGTAGGTTATTGAAACCCAGCAGTTTTTAGACAATTTATTTAGTCTTAGACTCAGAGAATCTTTCAGCGTTACAAGCTCTGGATTTGCAAAGTCATTCACTAATAATAATTCAAATAAACTTAAATAAAATGAAATCAGTAAGGATAAATCTGTTCTCCCTAGTCAGATGCTTCCTAAAACTTTAGAAGAGTTTAAGCTACCTGTGTACTATAATGATATGTAAGTTATTATTCCACACAAGAAAATTATGAGAGCTTTCTGCTGTACCACAGATAACTTGAAAAACCTAACCATGACTTAGTTTAGGCCAAGCGCTCTGGCCTCAGCAGAGAAAATGACTTAGGATTTACTCAGATTATTTAATTAATACTACTTAAAATCTAATAAGTTCGGTAACATCACTAAGTTTGTTTGTGATTTTATTGAGGGTGAAAATGGTTAAATATATCTACTTCATATAAAATCCTTTGAATGTGAAGGGGTTATTCAAGATTGGTAATAGAAATGGAATCCCTCATCTACTATAAATAATGATCCTTGGTTGATAAAAAAGAAAGATCTGATAGATGATTTTGAAACCTAATACAAACAGTGTCAAGCAAATATAATTTGTTCAAACAAGAGCTTTTGTGATATTTTTGTCAAAAGCTGTAAAAATGAAGATATGTGGAAATTTAATCTTAAAAAGCTCAATGTTCTTCCGTTTATTCCAGCAAAAACGAGGAAAAGATATCAGCAAGATTATGAGGCAAGTCAATTTGAATGGACAGACAACAAATTGAGGGGCTCTGTATGCCCTCTGATTCCATTGATTTTTTTCAAAGAAAAAATCAAAGAAATTTCAATATCTCCAAAAAGAAGATAAACTATAGCCTTCAGCAAAAAATAAAGCAGCCACTATATCTAATTTTTACCTACTGAAGTTGAAGAGAGACTAAGAATGAGATAATCGATAGTAATGGACTCAAAACCTATCTTAAATTTGAATAATGTAACTTAGATAACTTAGATTGAAAAGCCTCAACTAAGAGAAGAGCTGCCTTGTTGTTTCCCTTGCTTCAAAGTAATTGAACTATACTCACAAAGAAACGAAGCTATGATATTTAAATCAGATCTAGCATCTGAAGAACTTAAGGATTTGAAAATGTGCTTGGTAGAAAATTGGGATGACAAAAAAATAAAATTTGTTTTAAATCAGTACAAAAATTCGAAGCTATATCAAATTAAGGTGCCATAGTTAGAGAAACTACAAAGAAATCAGAAATGAAAAATTCTATTAAGTAGATCCAGAACTCCAATTCAGCTTTCTGAATAAGCTTCATAAAACATTACATAGAAAGTAAAATTAGATTAAATTCCCAATACAAAGCAAATATTGATTGATTCCATAGATGCAGAATAAAAACCTAAGTTTATCAAGAAACAACTAAGATATAAACCTCAAAGTGAGGATCCAAGAGATTTACCAAATCTTTTAACTCCTTTCTAAAAGTCCTAACTAGATGCATATTAGCAACAAGCACTAATGACTTAGAGGGAAAACATAAAGCAACTTAGCTCATCAGCCTCTTTAATGAATCTTTAATAGAAACTTATCAGAAAAAGCAGGTCAAATAGGAATATCCAAAAAGAAAACGTAGTTTAGAAGGCCAAAGAATAGATGAGAACGATGGAGTTTATAGAGAGAGATCAAACTATCAATCATTAGAAAAAATACAGTCAGGCAACTAATAATCAAAAACTCAAAGAGAGTGTCAATAAGAAAGAGTTAGTCAAGGTCATTGATTAATTTGGATTGAAACTTGATCATGCTAGTAAAACTATGATTGATAAAGATGTAAGCAGAAATCCAATGACCTTAAGACCTGCACAGAATCCCTATACAAAGAGTTAACTTAAATCATTTATTAACTAGACTTAGTAGGAACACACTCATTAAACTGATTAAATCCTTTTTAATTTGAATTAAAAGCAGCAAAGCATTATTCAGTAATCTGGTAAAACAATGGGAGTAAGAAAAGTTTCGTAAAAACACTTATTTGATTAAAAGATTTAAGAATTTAGTATGTACTTCATCAACAAGAGAGATATTCAAAACTCGAAGGTTAAACTTTCTTATAGGAATCTAGACTAGTTGAAAACGAGTAGAACACATGAAAGTAATAACTACAGCAATAAAGCTGGTCTTCAGTAACAACAGTTTAATAAAGATAACTGAGCATATGAAACTTAACTATTTTTAATAATTCTTATGATTCATTATATCATTAATTTGCAGGGGTTTTGGGGTTTTGGGGTTTTGGGG